TTTTCTCGTTTTTTTAAATAAAATAAAAATATATATTTTTTAAATATTTTTAAATTTTTTACAAAATTTCACTTATTTTGAGATCCAACATGATATGCTTTTGTATATATATATATATATATATATATATATATATATATATATATATATATATATATATATATATATATATATATATATATATATATATATATATATATATATATATTATCTTCTTAAAAAAGTATCTAAATTTTTTTTATTATCTTTTCTTCCACCAAGCTGCAAGCAACCACTAATTGGAGTTGAAAGTTACTGGAAGAGAAAAGATGAAGATTGGAGAGCCTGATAACGATTGAGAGATGACTTGAAAGATTGCAAATTATATGCATCATAAAGCAAGATGAAGGAAGAGAATTCCAAAGAACTGATATTCGAGGAAAAAAACTAGAGGAATAAGAGTCTTTGGAGCACTTAGGAACAGTCACAGAAAAAGGATGAGACTTAATTGAATGACGAGTAACACGAGAATGAATTTTAGTAGATGGCACAAGAGATGCTAGCTCTTTTGAGCAGTGCACATTATAGTATTTGTAGAAAAGAGAAAGAGAAGCAACATTATGACGATGTGACAGAGGTTGAAGGTTGACTGCAAGAGCAGTTCCAACTATGTTTACATTACGTTTTTGCACCTTGTCCAAAAGAGAAAGGGCATTAATAGAGGATCTGCCCCAGATATGGCAACAGTATTCTATACAAGGCCGGATTTGAGTAAGAAAGTGTTGAGCTGGATAAAGAGATGCAACTTTAGCAGATGCTAATTTTGCAACAGATTTGATATATGGTTTCCAAGAAAGATCGGAAGTAAGAGTTAATCCTAGAAGATGAAGGGTAGATGACTCATTGAGTTCATTACCATTCATAAATATAGGAAGGTCTAAATTATTGCGATAACGATTAGCTGAAAAAAATTGAGTTTTATCTAAATTAAAGTTCACCAGCCACTGTGAGCCCCATGCTGTAGCAGAAGTGAGATCCTTTTCAAGCTCAAATGCCCCCTCCAAGCAATCAGAGAGTGTTGGCTTCTTATTATGACAAGAATAAATGGTAGTATCAGTATGGTATGTTGATAGAGTGAAGTGGGGATAAACGAAAGGACATAAAAGAGTAATCTGTGGATTCAAATCTAGTTTCGTGACATATGGATGAATTCTTATGAATGTAAATGCCCATGACAAGCATGTGACTGTTGGAGTCTTTACGAATTAAAGGAAGATATTCATCAGCTCTAAGATCACAAGATGAGACAGCTGAGCTCAAATCAGTCTCACAAAGAGCAAGTAGGTCTGGTGAATTTTGCAAGTGATAAGACTCAACAGAAGAAAAGTTACTTTTAAGACCATGAGAGAACCTTGGTGATGACAATGGTTTTTTGTGTTTTATAGTTTTTGGTACTTTATTCATTTTTAAATTTGTTAAACAACTTGACTTGAAGCATAGATAGTACTCAGTATACTGTTTATTAGCCTATGCAATTGCCTCATTACTACTAATAAACCCTATGCCATATAAAGGGCTCCAATGTGGCTTGGTAATGCACACCAAAAGTACAAACAGGGACACCATCCATGCGCAACATGGCACTGTTAATACTTTGATATTTTTCAGCTGTTTATGGAATCAGCCTCTTTGAGAGCTACCACAGAGTTCAGGAAACCTAACTACCAGCCAGCCTCAGAACCATAAAACTGAGTTCACAAGAGCTGTTTCCTCATTAGGAGATAATAGAATGAGTTGCCTAGTCATAAAAACAGAGATACCAGTAAAACCCATGCATCGAGTCAAAAAGATCCAGCATTCAACATCCTAAACTGGAAACAATGTATTAAAAATCTGCGCCAGCCTAATAGATGAAGAAGAAGTGCAAGGCTGGTCAACAGATAGAATCTGTTTACCCCTTATGTCTTTGCCTAGGAGGCTTTCTTCAAGACAGTAGCCGGATGCGTTTAACATCTGCCCAAGATGAGTATTTTTATCAAGGCTGATACCATATCTGGCTTTTACTCAACCAAGAGCCCCAAGGCAGGATGTATTTTATTCGGAGTCTCCTAGCCTTTGCCTAATAAGGCATACCCTACAAGGCAGCAGGATATGAATTAGATTGTACTGGGTTACATGATACCAGTTGCAGGGTCAACCTGACCTGAGTTTAAATAAATAAATAAAGTTATATTAAATGCTTATATAAGTAAAAAAAGTTATTTTATATTCTTGTATAATTCACATAAAATGTGTAAAAGCTTGTAGTCACAAAAGGTTTTAAACTTATTTATAAATTAAAGTAACTTAAAAAAATACTTTCTATAATTATTTGTTATTTTTCTATAAATAATTGTTTAAAATATTTTTAGGAAGACATGGAAAAATAGTTCCAAACGTTTAAATTTATCATAAAAAATACATTTATGTTATAAATAATAAAATTAAAGTCTTTTATGTTAACATTAATTTTTATTTGTAGATGCAATGGTAAAGTAACTCATATTAAGATTCAGAATGATGGTGACTCTTTTTTGCTGATAGGAAGTCCAGATCCATTTCCTACACTAGAAAGTTTAGTATCTCATTATAGAAATACTCCTAATTCGATAAAAGAAAAAAGCGGCGTTTTTATTGAGCTGCTTTACCCTGTGCGTTCTACTGATCCAACAACAGAAAGGTAATTTATAGTGCTTTAAAAATAAATGTATGATTTATATTAATGAATAAATTAAAAACAAATACTGACAATCATAAATCCAACAAGTAGTAAATAATAACTCAGATAATAGGAGAGCAGCAAAATATTAGCTGATTTATTTTTTATATTACCTTTTTTTAAAGTTTATGAAGCACAAATATTTATTATAGTAAAAACTTGTAACAGATTAGTTATTAGCAATTTATTACTGCCTGGCAGTTTTGCAAGAAAATTTGTTTTGCCTTTAAGTCTCTCATATTCATATTTTAATATATGTTTTTTTACAATTAAGTGTTTGATGCACAAATTTTCTGTGACACAAATAACATTAAACAAAATTTTCTGAGTCACAGAAAATTTTGTTTAATGTTATTTGTGGTTATAGAAAATTCAAGGATTAAATAAAGCGATTGCGATTTTCAAAATCTGGAAAAATATCTGGTCTTCAAAATTTTAGTTTATGCAAAGCCATGTACTTTGTTTTCAAGGAGCAAATTATTATAAGTTTGTTAGCAAAAAAGTTATAAAAAACAAAACAATAAACTTACAACTACAAAAGTAATAACACTCTAGTCACTAACTGTGTTATAAAAATAATAAAGCTATAATAGCGTTATTACTTTTATAAAGCACTGTGTAAAAAGTTTAGCATTATGAAAAACGTTACTAATAGTCCATAAAAATGCACGATAATTTTAAAATCAACCAATAAAAACCTCTTATTGTACATTTTTATAAAGTAGTTTAAGTGTTTTTGTAAAAGTTCATCAATTAATCATTATAACTGTTGTAATGTATTAAAGTTTTTTTGTTTATTTTTTCAAACATACATATCCTAATAAATTAATAGAGAATAGTTAATGAAAAAAACATCTTTTATAACGATTTAACCACAATTGAAAGTTTTAATATGCAATTTATTAATGATTTTTATCAGTCCATATATTTATGAAACTAATTTGCTATATATGCTAGAGCTATAAGATATTTTGTTAATTTTTTTCTGATGTTTATTCCTTTATTATGTTTATTTGTTTATTCGGTTTTATGTCTTTTTGTTTTTAAAAATGTTTTTCTATATTTGGCGTTTTTTCTCAATACTTATTTAATAGGAAAACAAGAAAATAAATTGTTATTTATTTGTAAAAAATATTATTTGAATAATAAATTTTTAATGACGGAATAAGTTAAATAAAATGAATAACATAATTTCTTTAATAAATGTATTTACCACATTTGATATTCTGATTGATATCTGATATATATATTTTTTTTATATTGCCCAATATCCTATATTAAAACAAATCACTAGAGATAATAAACATAATGATTGCTCTGTTTGAAAAAATATATTTAAAAACTTAAAAAAAGTTTTAAATAGGCTCTTAAAAGTTTCATTAAAAATTTTTAGTAAGTTAACAATGCACTACCCACAAAATTTTAGAGGATTGTTTCATTTTTTTACATGAATAAATAGTTAAAAAAAATTTTTTTTTGCAAATAAATAGCAATTATTTTTCTCACTTTACTGTGCATTGATAAAAACAGTAAAGTTTAGCAAAAACATTTAAAAAACATTTAAAAATTGTCCATGTTTCTAGCGCAAATTATAAAGTATTTCCTTAATATACTGGCTGAAAAAAGTTGCGAAAAAAATGTATATAAAAAAAAAATTTTTTCCTTATATTCTTATCTTCTTTTTTCCTCAACATATATCAATTTTGGTAGTGGAAAATAAATGCCCTAAAAATAAGAAAACAAAAAGAGTAAAATATTTAGGTATATATTTTTTTTGACAACAATTTTATGTTTTTAATATTCATTTTTTTTAGCTTATTTTATTTAGATTTTCTATTTCGTATAGTCTTTGGTTCTTTTCTTTGAGTATTACTGTGTTATTCTCTAGTTTTTTATAGCTTTATTTTGCTGCAAATTCTTAAAACACTTACTAAATAAAAATGTGGTCAAGTTGTCTAAAAAAATTACTTTAAGTATGAACAAACAAGGCGTGCGATCGCACCTGCTTTCCGGGAAGGCTTAATATATATATATATATAAATATATATATATATATTTAAATATATGTAAATATATATATATATATATATATATATATATATATATATATATATAAATATATATATATATATATATATATATATATATATATATATATATATATATATATATATATATATATATATATATATATATATATATATATATATATATATATATATATACTTATACGTAAGTGTATATATATGAACAAAGAAAAAGATCTTTATATTATCATGTATAATATTGTAAACTTAAAAGAGTGCTCAATAGATATAAACTAGACAATAAACTAGAGCTATATAGTGTAAATGTTACTGTTACCTGCAGTTTCAGGAATTAGCTAAATGCTAATGTTTATAATATAGTTTAATATTGCAACTCTGAGTTTCATGTGTTACCACAATCATCAGGCAAGTAATAAAAGTTTAATTTTGCTACGATTTGTTTAGTGGATATTTTGGTTTATATTTGTATTATGGATTGTTACAGTAGGGAAATTGTATAAGAATTTATTTTCGTGGCGGCACTTTGATATAATTTTGGTTCTTTTATTTAGTAATTCCTCAGGTTTTTGACTTTTTGAGGAATTACTTTTTGAGGAATATATATATATATATATATATATATATATATATATATATATATATATATATATATATATATATATATATATATATATATATATATATATATATATATATATATATATATATATATATATATATATATATATATATATATATATATATATATATATATAGCATATTTATATGCGCAATTGCTCACTTTTTTTGCTAGCCTAAATTAAGTGAGCATTTTTAGAAAACGATGAGGGAAAACGAAGAATAATGAATGAAAATGTTGCTGACCCATACCAAACCCTCAGTCGATGTAGCAGCACTCCACGGCGAGTCATGCTATTTGTCAGTCGATGTATGTACTGAAGCCCCCGGCAGCAGGCTATTTGACATTAGGTGAGTATGACATCATGCTCACCTAACTCAGCAGTATAAGATATATAGCTGACACATTTTGACATTTAATTGGTTTAGGAAAAACTGCTGTTTCATTTAGCTTAGACAGTTTCACAATAGCATCTTTTTCAAATAGAAAAAGTTTTTTAAGATCTGACCATTTTGCAGTTCTTGAAATACCTTTGTAAGTAAAGCATAGTTCTTGGGATTTTTCTGTGAGCCAATTGTTAAGCCAAAAGTCATACAGAAGGAAAATGTTATCATTAGTGCACCAAGTATTACAGAGATTGAACATTTCAAAAAACCTTTTATTTATTTTGTTATTGTCGCAAAGAATAGCAACAACAGAACCACCCCATTTTTTTATCACTTCAATTGTTTTCCAAAAATGTTACCTCCTTGATATGTTAACTGTGGTTTAACATAAATTTTATCAATTAGTAGAATAACTTGTCTTTGAGATATAGAACATTTTTCAAAATACAACTTTAAAAAATCATCATCTCCAACATTTCTAACTTTAGATGTCAACCTTGTCATCAAAGATATACTTGGTAGTTCATAGTCATCACGCAATCAAGAGTAAAGAGTTCTTGACAATGAAAAGTACTCAAATGCCCTAGCAACCATATCAGGAGAATAATTTTTTTTCACCAATAAACATTAATGAGTTCATACTTAACATCTGTTTAATAATAATATTTTTCTTATGATCGATTGGTAAAGAATTCAGATAGTGTATTGCAGCATGGAGAGGGCTAATACAGTCAATAATATTCATATGATCGTAAGAAAAAGGTTTTATGGTGCACTTAACACCACAGTCATAGATATCAAAGGATAAATCATTTTTTATTTTCAAAATAAATTTTGGAACACCCAAGTTGTCCAATATATCAGCAGATTGAAGATGTAAACAGTTTTCATTGAAACTTGGTATTATTGAGTAGGAAAAAGATATAGACATTATTTTATTACACAAATCTTCGAAAGAAGATATATTATCAGCTCTCACAAAAACCTCCATTTCATCAGGCAAAGCACTTCTTAAAAATGGCAATGATTTAGTTGTTGGTCTTGGTGGTGCAAGTGGAATTCTTCAAATCTTCAAATTTAATCATTTAGCTCTAAAAAGAAAGCAAATATATATATATATATATATATATATATATATATATATATATATATATATATATATATATATATATATATATATATATATATATATATATATATAAATTTGGGTGTTGACTTTTTAATAAATTTTTGGTATCTTCAGTTTCCTGTATAAAAAACAGATGAACAAGGTCACCCACCATGGTTCTTGATTACACACTGGCTTCCATATATCAGTGAGTTTTTTTTCCTCAAAAGTATCAACCTGGGTCTCAAAAGAACCAGAGTTTTATAGTGATTTCAAAGTTTATAATCTTTTTTACTGAAACTTAAAAAAAAATTACAAACAAAATGTCATTAAAAAATGTTTTTTTTTATATATATATGTCTGAAATCTCTAAGAAATTCTGGTTCTTTTGAGGCCAAGGGTGATATACTTTTGAAGAAAAAAAAAATTCACTGATATATGGTAGCCAGTGTGTAACTAAGAGTCATGGTGGGTGACCTTTTTAAACAATAATGAGAACCAATGACTTTTCAGTTACTTTCAAACCGAAAATCATCTGTTTTTATATAGGAAACTGGAGATACCAAAAAGTCTTTAAAGAAGAATTTAAAAAATTAAATTCTTCTAAAAGACCTGAACCTAGAGCTCCGGACTTGTAGGCCATAACTCTATCCGCTTGGCCACTTAAACTTCTGCATTAGAAAGTTAAGTTATTATATATAATAACAATTATTATATAGTTAATGTCAGGATTATTTCCCAGCATTGCTGGCAATTATTTTTTGAGATAAAGTATAAGCAATACTTAGTAAGTAGTGCTT